GCTGTTTAAAAATAAAATATATAGGAAAAATGCATAGTCTATTTACATATGGTGTCATGATCTGCCTTTAAGAATGACACTCATGAGAGTTTATGTGATGGAGCTTATATTTAAAGTCCTCATGCACTTTTTGTGTTACAAATGTAAGAGTAGTTCTATGGCCAAATAGATTTTTGGGAAATTCTGTCCTAGTGACAGGGACCCAACTGCGAAACTACAAGAAGCAGGAAGGCCTCTGGAAGCTGCCAGAGCACGCGGGCACTCTGAGCCCCAGGGAAGACTGCATCAGCTGCTGGCTGCCATCCCCAATCCAGAGCAGCTCTGGAGACCTCTTTTCTGCGAGCGTTTGTGCTTTCTCAGATTGCCACCACCCAACATGGAGCTTTTCTCCTGGACTTTCATGCTGTGCCACCTCACAGACCACTGGCCTCCCTACGTCTATCCCATTTGTGTTTGGTTTGTGCTGATTCCTGATGCACTGGGTTAGGAGCTGGGTCAGTCATGTTTGAAGCAGCATGGCTGGTTCCTATAGAAGATTGGGGACATAAATCATTGTGGCTTTCCAGGAAGAACTACTGAGTCCCTTTTCCTAAGAGACACTCAGGACCATCCCTAGAAGAGGGCAGGACCCAGATCATTGTACTTGAACTGAGGTTGTGCTATCGGCATCTCTCATAGGCCTTTAGGCTCTTGAACATGCCAGCAGTGTCAACATTAAATATTGTCATGCTCAGGGAGGGTCAGGTGAGGCTCCTGGCAGCTCCCTGCCCCACCCTGAGCACCTTACCTAGGCCATTCTGCACTTCGCACTCTACAGCCTGCAGGCTCAGTTCTTTTTTTTATTTTATTTTATTTTATTTTTTTTTATTGGTTGTTCAAAACATTATAAAGCTCTTGACATATCATATTTCATACATTAGATTCAAGTTGGTTATGAACTCCCAATTTTACCCCAAATACAGATTGCAGAATCACATCGGTTACACATCCACATTTTTACATAATGCCCTATTAGTAACTGTTGTATTCTGCTACCTTTCCTATCCTCAACTATCCCCCCTCCCTCCCCTCCCATCTTCTCTCTCTACCCCATCTACTGTAATTCATTTCTCTCCTTGTTTATTTTCCCATTCCCCTCACAACCTCTTATATGTAATTTTGTATAACAATGAGGGTCTCCCTCCATTACCATGCAATTTCCCTTTTCTCTCCCTTTTCATCCCACCTCATGTATCTGTTTAATGTTAATCTTTTCTTCCTGCTCTTCCTCCCTGCTCTGTTCTTAGTTGCTCTCATTATATCAAAGAAGACATTTGGTATTTGTTTTTTAGGGATTGGCTAGCTTCACTAAGCATAATCTGCTCTAGTGCGATCCATTTCCCTGCAAATTCTATGATTTTGTCATTTTTTAGTGCTGCGTAATACTCCATGGTGTATAAATGCCACATTTTTTTTTTATCCATTCATCTATTGAAGGGCATCTGGGTTGGTTCCACAGTCTAGCAATTGTGAATCGTGCTGCTATGAACATCGATGTAGCAGTATCCCTGTAGTACGCTCTTTTAAGGTCTTCAGGGAATAGTCCGAGAAGGGCAATAGCTGGGTCAAATGGTGGTTCCATTCTCAGCTTTCCCAGGAATCTCCATACTGCTTTCCAGATTGGCCGCACCAGTTTGCAGTCCCACCAGCAATGTACAAGTGTACCCTTTCCCCCACATCCTCTCCAGCACTTGTTGTTGTTTGACTTCATAATGGCTGCCAATCTTACTGGAGTGAGATGGTATCTTAGGGTGGTTTTGATTTGCATTTCTCTGACTGCTAGAGATGGCGAGCATTTTTTCATGTACTTGTTGATTGATTGTATGTCCTCCTCTGAGAAGTGTCTGTTCAGGTCTTTGGCCCATTTGTTGATTGGGTTATTTGTTTTCTTATTGTTTAATTTTTTGAGTTCTTTGTATACTCTGGATATTAGGGCTCTGTCTGAAGTGTGAGGAGTAAAAATTTGTTCCCATGATGTAGGTTCCCTATTTACCTCTTTTATTGTTTCTCTTGCTGAGAGAAAACTTTTCAGTTTAAGTAAGTCCCATTTGTTGATTTTTGTTATCAACTTTTGTGCTATGGGGAAAAACACTCCATTCACAATATCCTCAAAAAAAATAAAATACTTGGGAATCAACCTAACAAAAGAAGTGAAAGATTTATATAATGAAAACTACAAAACCCTAAAAAGAGAAGTAGAAGAAGATCTTAGAAGATGGAAAAATATACCCTGTTCATGGATAGGCAGAACTAACATCATCAAAATGGCGATATTACCAAAAGTTCTCTATAGGTTTAATGCAATGCCAATCAAAATCCCAACGGCATTTCTTGTAGAAATGGATAAAGCAATCATGAAATTCATATGGAAAAATAAAAGACCCAGAATAGCAAAAGCAATTCTAAGCAGGAAGTGCGAATCAGGCGGTATAGCGATACCAGACTTAAAACTATATTACAGAGCAAGAGTAACAAAAACAGCATGGTACTGGTACCAAAACAGGAGGGTGGACCAATGGTACAGAATAGAGGACACAGAGACTAATCCACAAAGCTACAACTATCTTATGTTTGATAAAGGAGCTAAAAGCATGCAATGGAGGGAGGATAGCATCTTCAACAAATGGTGCTGGGAAAACTGGAAATCCATATGCAACAAAATGAAATTGAATCCCCTCCTCTCGCCATGCACAAAAGTTAACTCAAAGTGGATCAAGGAGCTAGATATCAAATCAGAGACTCTGCGTCTGATAGAAGAAAAAGTTGGCTCCGATCTACATATTGTAGGGTCGGGCTCCAAATTCCTTAATAGGACACCCATAGGCTCAGTTCTTAAATGGAGTGGTGAGATGGGGACTTGCACCCTTGGCCAGTGGGAGCATAAATCATTTTTTGCTCTTCAAAAGCAATTTGATATGAGAATTTTTGACCTAGTCATTTCTCATTTCACTTCTAAGAAACTACCTTAATGATAAGTGAAACAACCCTAAAGTTTTATTTATGATTTATACTAGCATTATTATATAGTAGTGAAAAATATTGAAACAAAGAAAGTTTACATCTGTGAGGAAATGGTAAAATATTATGATATATGGTAAACATAAACATTTCATATATGATAAAATAATATAATATCTAAAAGTATTTTGCACCATTGAAATGATAGTAATAAAACTTTACTAATACAGAACATCCTTATGTAACAATGTTAAGGAAGGAAAGTAGGGAATTACAATCAAACCGGCATAGTTTGATTGCAACCATGTAAAGTACACAGGAGGGAAACATGAAGTATGTTAACAGAGTTACCTTTGGGTGGTGGAGTTACAGGTAGTTTTTGTTCTCCCTTTTACTCCGGCTTCTCCTTTTTCATTTGCTGTACTTTCCAAATTTTCAACAATGAGCACATTTTGCTACTGCAATCCGGAAAAGTTTTTACAAAGAAAAGCATATAATCAGAAAAAGTAAGTAAAAAGTGGACTAAACAAGCAGAGAAGTTGAGAGATGCAATTAGTTATTGTCTCAGGGACCAATATGGCTCTTCACCTGCTAAAGAATAGAGATTCTAGGCTTCTGTTTTGAAGATGTTCAGATATATCATAGAAATCGAAATATCTCTGCAGTGGTTAAGAAGAATATGCTTGATTAATTCCCCTGGTTAAAAGGGGATTGTGGATCCCACATGGGGTGTGAAAATGGTGCACCTCCTGAGCTGAAAAAGTCACTGCTTTTATTCCTCTCTGTGTCACCTCCTCGCCAGTCACCCTCCTGGAAGATGACCCAGAGGGGGGTTGAAATAGCTTCTTGGAATCACTGCCTCAGTGGATTCCTTGGCTCGTCTTTGGCCTGGTGGAGGGACACAGGAAAGAGGGAGGCAAGAGTGTGGCCTGTGGCTGTTTCATCAAGATCTGATTGTGCCTCATTGTCCTCTCCAGCCCTGCCTTCCTCTCAGGCTGCAGGAGCAGGGCAGCCTGTCTATGTTTGCCTTCCCTCCAACCTTGCCTCTTACTCCCCCTACCAAACTGTCAGAGTGCGCTTTCCACGGGGCAGGACTGGTCCCCGCTCCCAGTCCACTAAATACCTTCAGTGGTGCTCCCTTGGCTTCTGGATAATACTTTGCGTCCCGGCGTGGTAGGTGCTGCTGCTCTTTCAGCCTCGTCTCTGACCGTTGCTTGCCTTGTGCTTCACATCCTGAATGCTTATGATCACCCTGCGGCGCCTCTTTGTCCCTTGCCTCTGTTTCTTTGTATATGCCATTTCCTCCCTCCAGAACTCCTCCCCTCAGTGTCACCTGAATACTTCTACCCATTCTCAAGGTCCTAGGCTGGCATGCTGAGACCTCGGGGATGCCTTCTTAATCCCTCATGTCCAAGGAAAGTGCCCTTTTCCTGCTCCCATAACACCCAGTGCTTACCTCTGTGTTCTTATCACTGGTGCTTACTTACCACCAGTATTTTCCCAGCAGCCCCTAGGATAATGTCTGGCATATATAAGGCACTCAGTAAATATTTGCTGAATGAGTGAGTCCAGATAATAGCAATCCAAAGTAGGAGGTCTGACCTCCTATTAAGTGCTATTAAATTGCTTAACTCTAACACTACCATTCTGGATGATCAGAGCAGGAAAGTTTCAAATTTTTGCAACAACATTCTTTTTTATAATGTTTTCAATGAGGTTGCTCATATCTCTAAAAGATCTGATGCAAAGTAGCAGGATTAGTTGGACTCGAAAGCCCTAAAATGCTCTTTCTTTGGCTTTGGGTGTGCAGGTTTTGGCTTAGAGATGAGTGATTTGTATTTTATCTAATTGGCTTTTAATTTGACTCTTTAATAGAAATTCTAAGAGTCCAGGTTGAGGCGCTTTGTGTCTAAGTTTCCTTTGGCGTGACTTGAGGTTCTCAGCACAAAAAATTATATCAGAGCCTATTAGTTTTTTTTTTTTAAAATCTTTTTAAACTTTAGATTCTTGAGCAACAGCTTCAGCAGATGAAAGCAACTTATCAGCTAAACCAAGAGAAGTTGGAGTACAACTTCCAAGTGCTGAAAAAGAGAGATGAGGAAAGTACAGTTATTAAATCCCAGCAAAAGAGGAAGATCAATCGGTAAGTTGGCACACAGAGCATCTTTCTTCTGGGTCCTTCCATGCTGAGATTAGGGATGGGTGTGAACTTTTGTCTCCTGAAGGGATAGAAACCTACTAAAAATGTAACTAACTTTTTCTAAATTTTATTTTGGAAAAGATTATACTCAAGTGGTTCTACTTTCTTCCCAAGCAGAGTATTTGTCTTGCTCTTCTCTCCCCTCTGAAGCACTTATTCATTTTTCTATTCCAGATTTTCTTTATGTGGTACACCACACAAATATTCTCATTCCTCCTGTGCCTTTACACAAGGGATGGCATTCTAAAAGCAAAACTCTGTATCTTGAAGGCCTTTCCCTTCATGTTCATAGAGAGCTTTCACGTGATTTCTGAAGCTGCTCAGGGCTCCACAGTGTAGATGAACTGTAATTTATTTAATCCACTCCACCGATAGATACAGTTTGCTTCTAATCTTTTGCTATTATAACTACAAGATGAATGTAAATGTCATTGCGTCAGCTGCTTTTGTACAGATACTGTGGTTCCCTTAAAGGTACTGATTGCTTGCAATTTCTCACTCATCCTCCCCATTCCCACCCTTCTTCTCTGTCTCCTTTTTTTTTTTAAAAAAAATGTATGTATACATATGTATATATATATGTATATATATGGTTGTAGATGGACACAATACCTTTATTTAATTTATTTATTTTGATATGGTGCTGAGGATGGAACCCAGTGTCTCACACTTGCAAAGCAAGGGCTCTGCCACTGAGCCACAACCCCAGCCCCTCTGTCTCCTTCTTTCCATCTCTCCTGCCTTTCTTCCTTTAGGAATTGTCTCCTAAGTTCCAGAGCATTGTACTGGGCTCTAAGGATCAGATAACATAATGCATTTTGTTTAAAGAAGGAAACAGTATTGAGGATTTACCCCAATGCCAGATGACTTAGTATTATTTAAAATTCTTCTAGTAAGTTGTTTTTACATTTTGGACGAATGTTGGGTACATAGAGAAACAACAGTGGACCTTTTAATAGTTACTTGTAACAGAAAATGATACTGAAAAAATGAGCTGGCATCTTAGTGTGGTTATCTGAGAGACAAGAGCAGTTAGGGAGCAATATTTGTGGAAAATCCCAGTCGACGCCCCGTCCTAGCTAGGGGAACAGGGAGAAGGAGCTGTCTGGGAAAGGTTCCCAAAGAGGTGAAATAGTGAAGCGGGCAGGACACGGGCAGGCAATAGAAGTTACGAGAAGCAGTGGATCAGGGTGCCGCTGGCCAGGTCCTAACCGCCTCTCGCTGGTCTGCGCCTTTGGACCCCTCCCCTCCCCTGGCAAGCTGCCCCCTGGCACTTTTCACTCCTTACTGTGAGTAATGCCTGTCTTTGACTGGCTGACAGCGTCCTGTTTTCAAACATATCCTTGACTCGAGAGAGGCACTTCATGTCGGATGGACGAATGAGTGAGTGAGTGAGTGAGTGGGTTGAGAACAGCATCAGCTCTGAGGAAGGAGGAGTCATCGTCACAGGCTTGTGGCACGCAGTGTTAGTGTTTTCTTGGTTTCAGAATTGAAACCAACCTGCAAATCATGACCTCGATGAGCTAGATGAGGTGAACGTGTGAGGGTGGGCCTGGGGGAGGACCCCCGAGGAGGGGTGTGTTGAGGAGGACTCATCCCCACTCGGGAGCAGGAGGCTGCCTCTTGGTGGGCCTGGGCTTCTCGACTGTTTTAAATTCCCATTGGCTCCTGTTGCCTTCTTCTCCTTGACCATAGCAGGAGCTGGGTTTGGAATCTGTGGGAGGCTTTTCTGCCCTTCCGCCATTCTGACCCTAGATTTACTGTGGAGCTGCATTTTGTGGATGAGAGGAACAACTTTAACCTTCTAGTAGCTGTGGATTAACTTTTGTTTCTCCAACCAGCCTGCAGGATGTACTCAACAACCTGAGATCAAAATATGCCAAGCAGGTAAAGCATTTCCAGGAGGAGAACCATTCTCTGACTTCAGAATACAAGCGTCTTGTGATACAGTTCAAGGAGCTACAGAGAGCCATGAGGTATTTTAGGGCCTTGGACCCTAAGGCATCTGTACTAGGATAGAGGTCGGGGCTGGGGGAAGAGGGAAAGTTGGTAGTGGCATGGTGACAGTGATTTCATTAGATTTGATATGACCAGCTTTTTTGGTGCTCAGGGCATTGAAGAATCTTGTGTGCTTTGTTCTTCTGGCCCTTTAATAATGTGTCACCTGCCTTTTCTTGTTTCTTGTTGGGATGGCTTCCATTTCACTGTAGGTGGGATTAGCTGCTTAGGGATTGGGGCAGGCCCAGGATTTACCATGGTTCTTGCTCATGTTCTTGCCCTTCTGCCAACTGAGGGACCCTGGCCAGGCTGTGAGGTCATCTGGCCATGCTTGGTGACTCTCCTTCACAGACAGTTTGCTATTATTGATGCTGAGAAGTTTCGAGAGATTTGGCTGATGAATGAAGAGGAGGCGAAGGGGCTAATAGGCAGAGCCTTTGATGTGGACAGGATCATCCATATGCAGCATCTGGGTCTCCCCTGGACAGCACCTGATTTCTGGTTCCTGAAGAATGTGGGGCCTATTTCCCAGCAGCCACAGAAGACCGCCAAACAAATAGTAGAAGAGGTGCTGAAGCAAGCAGGTGACTAGAGCAGAGCCAGCCACAGAGCCTTAGTGTGGAGGGGCCCTCTGAGGACACTGGTCAGTCCATCCATTTTATGGATAAGGAAACCGACCTCTCAGAGGTGTAGAGTATGATTGGTTGACACAGCTTTGAAGTCACCTCTCATTTCATTGAGTCTACACTGGTGGTAAGACCTAGAAAGTTTGATCAGATGCAGGTTCAATTTATTTTTGCCAAGTGTGCTCTTGTGTAACTCTATCAGAACCAACTAATGTGTTTGTCTCCTTGTGATGTCAGTGGCCACCGAGAATCTTTGTCTGAAAGCCATTAATGGCATTGGGATTGCAAAATAGTGATATTTTAAATTATATCATTATATCTTTATTTATTAGCTAGAACATTTCTGAAGAGAACCTTTCTCTCATCAGCTATTTGCTGAGATGCAGTTTGTGTAGGAAAAGCAGAATAGATGCCCATTTTTTTTTAGTACTGGGGATTGAACCCAGGGCCTCACATGCTAGGCAAGTGCTTTACCACTGGGCTATATCCCCAGCCCTGTGTTTTTCTTTATTTGCCTGTTTTTAGAATCATGGATTGGGTTTCTAGCACCTCCTAAATGTCAATGAGGATTTTATTTAAAGTATCATTATAAATGCATGGATTGAAACAGATTTGAGGTATCTGAATTTGCTATAATTAATATCCATACTGATGCTCAAATTGTACTACTGTGGGAATCTTTTCATGCTAGCATCTGGCTTCTTTTGACACAGCCCCAGTAGTAGTAGCTTCCTGGCTGTTCAGAATGACTAGATATTCCAGGAGCACTTTACTTTTCCTACCTCAAGTCTGGAATTGGCCATTTCTCCATGGTTGCCTGGTCCTTTCAAATAGGAAATGGTCTGAGGGTACATAGAATTCTTTTAAAAAAATTTTTTTTTAGTTATAAATGGACAAGAATGCCTGTATTTTATTTGTTTATTTTTATGAGGTGCTGAGGATCAAACCTAATGCCTTATGCATGCTAGGCAAGCACTCTACACCAAGCTACAGCCCCAGCCCCATAGGATTCTTTTTTAATGATCAAATAAATCAAATTCACCCTAATACTTCCCAATTAAGAAGATGCCAGGAGTTTTACATAACCTTATCAAAGTGTATTTTCTTTCTCCCAATTTGAAAAACTTGATACTGACTTCAAAATAATTTCTCATCTGCTTTCCCCATAACACCACAACTTTTTCAGAAGAAAACATTACCCTACAAAGAACAAATGGTTATTTTGTAAAAAATATATTTTAGTTGTTGGACCTGTATTTTACGTGGTGCTGAGAATTGAACCCAGTGCCTCACCCATACAAGGCAAGTGCTCTTCCACTGAGCCACAGCTCCATCCCCAACAATGGTTATTAAAAAGAGTTTAAACTTTAGCTCTTTTGGTTCTTGAAATATATTTCACTAGGGATGTATAGATAGATTATTGCATTTTAAAGTCACTTGTAATAGTTTCTGCTTGGTTTATTTCACCCACTGGATACATAGTTAGGTTTCTTGCTTTGCTTTACTTTATAAACAAATATAAATATATAAATATCTGTGCATATTTATTCATGGCAACTAATTTTTTTTAGGAAAGTGAAAGCTGTGCTTGTTTCTACTTTGCTCTTTTCACCTATTGTAGTAAAAGAAGTGTTTGCTGCTTCTTCCTCACATGGCTCTCGATTTGTGTCTGTGCCATGATTTATTCAAATAGCCCTTGGTTGATCATCATTGGGCTACTTTTGTTTGCTTTTGTGATTACAGACATTGCTACAACAAATAGATGAATCTTTTCATGTTTTTGCTAGTGGATTGCTGGGATGGCTCCCTAGAAGTAGGATTACTGAATCAAAGGGAAAATGCCTGTGTAATTTTTTTGAATATTGCTGCACAGAGGTGACACCATACATTTGCTTTTCCACCAGCAATTTGATATCTTGGGCTCTTCAAAGACATAGATATTATCTTCCCTTTTGAATGACCAGGAAAACCTTGGTAATAAAATGATTTTCATTCCCATTTTCTGATAAGGAATGTATAGTATAAAATATTTAAAAATTTAATTAAAATTTTGGCTCTTGCTCTCAGCTATGAGTTTCTTTCTTTCTCTCTCTCTCTCTCTCTCTCTCTTTCTTTCTCTCTCTCTCTCTCTCTCTCTCTCTCTCTCTCTCTTTCTCTCTCTCTCTCTCTCTCTTTCTTTCTTTCGAATTGAACCCAGGGGTGCTTAACCACTGAGGCACGTCCCCAGTCCTTTTTTGTATTTTATTTTGAGACAGGGTCTCACTGAGTTGCTTAGAGCCTCAATAAGTTGCTGAGAGGCTGACTTTGAACTCATGATCCTCCTGCCTCAGCTTCCTGAATCACTGGGATTACAGGCGTGCACCACCATGCCTGGCAGCCATCAGTTCTTGTTGGTAATATTTCCCCCCATCTTCTAGTTGGTTGCTTCTAATCTTTGCAGGTTTAGGAACCAAGTATCATGCTTTAGTTTGTTTCCAAAATGAGAATCAATAGGTTTGTCTCTCCTTCCCACTTCTTTGCTCAGGGCTGGACTTTGAACAGAAGGCTCTGGGTAGATGCAGTTTGGGGAAGTGAGATGGAGTTCTCCAGGTGGTCTCTGATTCAGTTCCCCAAGCCCTTGTCCCCAACATCATAGGCTTCCTTTAGGGGCTTTAAGAGCTATATTTAAGAGGTTCAGTTGTTTTTCAAAGGCCAAAAACTTATCTTACTTTTCCCCCCCATATCCTCTCTGTGACCCATCTGCAGGTGAGGATGGCTTAGAAGAGAATGCCTCAGAATCCTCTTACCTGGACCTGCCCAAGCAAGTTTCAGCAAAAACTACCAGAAAGATCCTGATGCTCCTATGTGATGAGTCGGTGAGGCCAGCCAGGACTGCTTCTGAGTCCTGCTGGGCTCTGTGCAGCCTGGGGTCAGGAGTGGCTGCCCTCCCCTGGCCATTCCCAGAGAGTGGGTCTCAAGAGTGAAGCTGGGGTCGGCGCTGGACTTGGGGGCCAGTTCACGAGAGAGCCTGTGCCTCTGAGCTGGCCCAGCAAGGTGTAGTCCAGGGGAGCTGGGAGCTCCTGATAACTGAAACCAGTGCTTGTCTCACCTCCATGAACCCACCTACCAGGTGCTGTGGCCACACTGGCTGTGGCCTTCATCTAGGGGCTCATTTTGAGGTTACTCTGGGTGATTGGAATCATCCTCTCCCTGATCCACTTCACAGGCTCTGAGTTCTGAATCCACCCTCCGCCATGCCTTCCTCTCCTCCATGCAGGGCCTATTGCTGGGTTGTGTAGCTCTTTGGGGAACATGGGTGAGGCGGGCCTCTGTGACTGGGTTGGGTTTGGACTGCCCAGTGGCTTGTGGGCAAGGTGAATGAGCACCTTTCTGAAGTGGGGGGCAGTCTACACCATGATGTTCCTGGCCTTGCTCCCTGGGAATGGCTCAGAGGCGTCCCTCGATGGCCTTCCTCTGGGGGCCTTGCTGCCCAGAGTCTCAGCCCAGGGGCTTCCGCCTGTGGAGTTGTCCTTCAAGAGTTACACAGAAGGTGGCTGCAGACCCTGAGCCCCTTTTCCAACTGGTGATGCCTTCCTCCTCCTCCTCAGGGTTTCCTCATAGAGAGCAAGCTGTTGAGCCTTCTCCTTCCCCTGGAGAAGAACGAATGCTATCTGCTGAAGTTGGACGCCATCTTCTCAGTGAGTCCCACTGGGCTGTGAGGACGTGGGGTGCCAGCGGGTAAAGCCTGCCTCATTCTAGTAGAGCCCCTCTGACTTTCTGGTTTGCCTCAGCCCTGAGACTAAGTGCAGGTCTCGTGGGGGCTTCTCTGGGCTCACTGTCACAGCCTTCCCTTCACTTACCCTCTGCACAGCAAACGGGCCTCGGCCCCATTTAGATGTCTCCCTTCCCTGACCTCCTGCTGGCTTCACTCTGTGGCCAGGCTCTCAGGTTGTAGGTTCTTCCCTTCAACCCAACTCAGGTGTGTGTTGGTGCCCCCTTAGCTCTCTCCTACCTACCAGACGTGCAGCTTCCCTCTGAGCTTCGTTTCTCTATTCTGATGTCCCCCAGTTCATGTAGCTTCTCAGTGTTGGATCAATGTCCTCTACTCTGGGCCACAACAGGCTCCAGGCATGCTCAGTGGAGTGGCCGCGTCTTCTCCTCTGAGGAGCTGAGATCAGCATCCCAAGCCTGGGATCTCTTTGATGGTGTCTGAACAGTGACCTATCCCCTCCCCCAGGCTCTTGGAATCGAGAGCGAGGATGACTTGTATAAACTGGTGAAGTTCTTCCTTGAATACCGAACCCATCATTTATCTTCCAGCCAGGTAAGGTGAGGTACCACTGAAAAGGGCATCTCAGTTCTCCTGGAAGCCCCCAGAGGGCATTGCTGCCTTCAAGTAACACTTCTGGGCAATCTTGGGAGTTTACGCCAGGAATAGCTAACAGCATTTTCCTTATTATTATTTTCTATATTTGCAAAGGGAAGAGTGACGAGGGGAGAGATGCTCTTGTCATATTGAGATCCAAGGGATCTTTCCCTGGGCCTTCCCTCAAAGCTTGGCCTCAGCCACTATAAGATCTGGGCCACCACAGTCCATCATTTTTGACCATTAACACTTTCCTGAAAAGCAAGGATTGTTTGTAATGCTATACATACCTTTGTTGTAACTGATTTCAGTGAGAGAACCAAATACCAACTCTTCTGAAGAGGTCATCATGTTAAAAAGATACAAGATTTTAATTCAAAAATTAAAAATTGGAATTAAGGGCTGAAAATGTAGCTTAGTGGTAGAGTACTTGCCTAGCAGGTATGAGGCCCTGGGTTTGATCCCCGGTACCACAAAAAAGAAAAACAAAACAAAAAAAGAATTAAAAAATGTGAGTGTGAGTGTCCTGACAGGTCTCCAAAAAGAGTTGGTGAAGTGGACAAAAAATCTGAACATTTGACAACAGTGATGACTGGTGTGTTGGAAATGGGCACATTCTAAGTTGCTGGTAGGAGTGCACATTGTCACCTCCAAGTGAGATTTGACAGTATTAATTACAAAACTCTATACACTTTTCAATTATTCTTCTAAAATTTTATTCTATAGATATGTCTCAATACAGTTGAAATGATGTGTTTATTGTGGCTTATTTATTTCAATGAATTGTCTGAAGTAACAGAAGATTGGAAACAACCTTCATGTCTGTCATCGAGGAATTTATTTGATAATATATAGAACACCTACCTAGTGGGATACTGTACAACTTTAAAAAAACCAAATGGAAACAAAGAACAGGAAATTATTTATATATTTATACAAAAAGTCTGTAAGCCAAAAGAACAAATGAGAGAGAGAGAGTGAGAGAGCAATTTATAAAACAACATGTATAGAGTAGTATCATTTACATAAAAATAGGAAGGAAAAGTATTTTATGTGTTTACATATCTACTTGCTTATATAGACATACTGTTTCTTCATAACATTAATTTGCCTATAAGATATAAACTGAATAACCTGGGAGACAGAAGAACTCTTAAATTTAAAAAATTGACTGTGTATTATGATTCAAAATGACAATTATGACATGTCCACTTTATGGATATCAAGTCAATGAACACCTGTGGACCCAGATTTAGAAGCAGAACCTTGTCATTGTTTTGAAGCCCTCCCCTGCCCCACGTGCCTCTTCCTGTCCATCCCCCATCTCTTCCTGTCTTTCTCCTATTTCTGTCCTTGTGCGATTGTCTCTGTGACTTTTTATAAACTCTGTTTTCTTCTCGTCCTGTCTCTCTTCACACACTGGTGCGTGTGTGTCCCCGACCCACTCTCTCCTGTGCGCCCTTCTCCAGATCGGCTCCTGGACTCAAGCAAACTTGGAGCAATCAAGCTTCATGTCAGCTCTGGAGAGAATGAGCTTGATATCAGCGACAGGGCTCGAGAAGAATATGATGCGGGAGCCGGAGCAGGAGTCAGAGCAGGAGACGGAGGAGGCAGAGTCCTTGGAGGGGGAAGAGGAGGAGAGCTTTGTGGGCAGACAGCTGGAAGACAAGGAGGCCCCGCCTTCTCCCAAGCTTATCCACCCCAATGAGGTTCTCAAGGTTCTGGAGGCCTTTGTCCTGGGTCTGAAGAAACCCAGGTGTGCGGGGCACCAGAGGGCTTGCCTGAGACCTGGGAGGCGTGGGTGCTGGGAGCCAAGCAGAGGCTAGTGAGTGAAGAGGCTGCTGGGCAGAGAGGAAAGAAGTGGGGTGCAGGGCTGACTGATGCTTTCCCCATTCGTCACTGGGTCACCAAACATTTATTGAGGTCTGCCATGCTTCAGCAAAACGAGGGTAACTCCTTGTGGTCAGAATGACATCAAAGCCTATGTGAGGTGTGGCATTGTTCAGAGGGGGAGATGGCCATCCCCATTTGGCATATCAGAGAGAATTTGGGGTGGAGATGGCACTGGAACTGGGTGGGCAAAGTAGGGGTAAGGGCTTTTCAGGACATCATAGCGCAGGGGAGGCCTGATACATTCAGGAGTCATGATGGCAGGGATGGCAAGAGTGCCCTGTGTCTGGGAGTGGGACCAGTGAGTGGGGAGCTAGGTCAGCTCTTGGAGAGCCTTGCCTGTGTGCCCACGATCTTTGCCTTTGCCCTGGTGACTGGAGCTGGGAGAGGATATGAAGCAGTTGGGGAGCCATGATTTGACTTGCACTTTAGAAAGATCCTTTTGATAGCAGACGGAGGTGATGCTGGAAACAGGGAGAAATGGAGAGGCTTGTCTGGGTGAGAGGGAATGCTGTTCTGGGTTAAAGACATCATAGAGGGCATGGAAGAAAGTGCCAGAGTTTAAGAGCTGATGTCAGGATGCATTCACGGAAAAAGGGGGAGGCATAGTAATAAGCTGTAAAGTAGTGAGGTGAACAAAAAATTGGGAGAAAGAGACATGGCTTTCCCCTCACTGTATCAACACAGACTTTTACCTTCACGGAGGGAACAATAGCCCCAGTCAGGAACATGGAAGCAGGTGTACTTTCTGAGAATCTGCCATAATCTAAGAGACTTGGACAGCTTGGAGGGAAGGTGGCAGGTGGAAAGGCAGGATGTCTGTGACTGACTTCAGGCACTGAGATTAGCACTGCTTGGGGGCCTTGGGTGTCAGGTGGAGATCATGGCATTAGTGCTCTTGACCTGCAGGAACATCCGGGCAACAATGAGAATGGCAAATTCTTCACGAGATAACTCAAAGGACTCTGATTATTGGAAGGCCCTGACTACAGTTATCCCTCCCTCCAAGCAGAACCTCTGGGATGCTCTCTACACAGCCTTGGAGAAGTACCAGTAAGTGTGTGTCATGAGTCAGGAGGAGGAGGGAGCAGGGCAGGTCTGTAGGGGCAGACCCTGCTCTGAACAGCCACACTCCAGGTCACACTCAGTCTTGAGGAGAAAAGCTGGGTGTGGTGGAGGGGGTAGGGGGAGCTTTGGTTGGTCCGGCCCTGTTCTGTCACTAGCCTGTGGTCCTCCTCTGTGTCTAGCCAGAACAAACATAGAGGTCCTGGTCCTCACTTGGCAGAGGATGGAGGATTCAGTGGGTCTCTAACCTGTTTTCCTACCCAAAGCCTCGTCCTGACCCAGAGAGCCAAGTTGCTGATAGAAAACAATTCTCTGGAGCAGCAGAACTCGGAGCTGCAGATGCTGCTGCAGCAGTATCTCCACTCCAAGGTGGGTGGGCAGCAGGGCGGGCCATAGCTGGGAGCAAGGAGGGGCCCCTCCCCAGGGGCCAGGTGGTTTAGATGGGATGCAAAGCAACAGTAGCACCTCAGGTGGAGACAATGACAGGGCAGTGGGTATTGGCAACCAGGTTGTGACCACGTCTCTTTGATGCTTGTGGTTTTGGCACCAGCCGGTTGGGACTGTTTTTCAAGTAGTGCCAGAGCCAGCTTCCCAGCTTACACAGGCCCCAGTTTTTCTCCACTCTAACAACCTGTGTGAGGTAGAACTGTCCTCCCACTTCACAAAAGACAGCAAAACCTGGAGGCTTAGGGAGACCCCCAGAGGCCAGGGCCAGATCAGCTTCCTTGGCCTGTGATTTGACTCAGGGTGCCCTCATGGGGAGAGGTGTCTGTGCTGGGCACCTGGGCTCTGCCCAGCTTTGTGCCTCCTCCTGCAGGAATCGTGGTGTCTCCCTTGGCCCGGCCGAGGAGATCGGAATCGTACTGCTGTAACAGTCATGTGCTTCCTCTCCTGTCCTTAGCACAGTGCTGTCCTGTGGCCCGGAGGGTCATTAGTCATCAGCTACACACATGTGAGGCAGCTGAGGCTAGCCCCGAGTCCGAGCATGGGACGCATGTCCCCAGCCTAGTTCAGGTCCTAGGCTACACCTGAAAGGCAGATAGTGTGAGCCTTGGCATCATGATGGCCTCTTGGCCTGTGACAGGACTCAGACATTTGGGGACCATATGGCCCTTGCTTCCATGGATGCTGTATACAAGAGCATTGGGGGAGGGGAGGGGGTGCACTGGCCAGTGAAGAGGGGAGGGGGGTTTAATGGCGAGGTGGGGGCAGGGGGAACACTAGGAGAGGTTGCTGGCCAGAGCCCAGGGGAACAGGAAGCCCGGCAGCCTTGTGCTCTGTGTGTGCGTTAGCTTTGAGAGGAACTCTTGCAGGGGTCTGGGGACTCAGGGAGAGCTAGCAGGCGCACTGGAACCCCAGGGGACAAGAAGAAGGAGGGCCTGGGGGAAGGAATGACCTTCACTTTCTTTTCCAGATAAACTCCGAACTGCAGATTCCTCCGACTCATGTGTTCCGGGTACCCACAAAATAGAGGTGGACCTCAAAGGGCTGATGTGCCCTAGCTGGCACTGGGGCTGGTGCCAGAGCTGGCACTTGTCATCTAGTGATCTGAGCCCACTCTAGATTTTCCAGAGCTGTCTTATAGGCTGTCAAAATAAGTCAACAAGCGAGTCACCTGTTTCCTATAGTTCTGATTAAAGTTTTTTGAAAACTGTGGCTGAATCTCTGTAAAGAGGCCAGATCTGATTGTGTGTGTGTGTGTCATGAGGGAACTTTGTTCCTGGGCTCAGGTCCTGGTGTGTGACCAGACTGAGGCCAGTGGCCTGGGACACCTTCTTGCTTCTGGGGACAGTTGGTTTCTTTTCTTTTTCTTTTTCCAGTTTGAAACCATATTTTATTTTTAACATAGCTAGAAATATCCAATAACTATATATTTTTAAGCAGAAAACTTTCTTTTCCTTCTTATAGCATCATTAGCAGAAAAAAAAAGAATATTTCTGGTTTAGAAGTGATACTGAGTCTTTAAGAAAATGAAGACTGTTGTATTTATGGAACTTAAAAAGTCAAAAGCACAGGACACATTTTCAGAAGAGTAATTTACTTTTACCCATTTATATTCGTAATATTCGAGTATAGTTAGGTCATGTATAATTAAGTCAATCAAATCAGGAATCCAGGAAGAAACTGTTCTTCTTGAATTAGCACAGCACACATGAGATTTTGAGAACATACATGAACAAAAAAAAGAACACTGGCAAGCCCAAATCCAGGGATAAATGGTGTTTTTCAAGGATTTTAAAAGCATGCTCCATTAGCATTTCCTCATTTTTGTAACAGATGCATTTCTGTCTACTCATGTACAGCAGAAGGTTAGAACCTGAATAAATATATTAGAAATGTGCTACTTTATAAATGTACTCCAAGGAATTTATCATTTCCTTTATCTTTGCAGGGACAAAAGGGAAAGAAAGAGGTGGGAGAGTTATGGTTGCAGTATTTAAGGAAGAGCGGGGGCAGCTGGTTTCTATGGGTGGAGGCTGGAGCTCTTATAGGGTCATGAGCCTTCAGATTGTCTCCAGGCCTGAGGGACATTTTCTGTGCTCTTGGGGCCCTCTGTGCATCCTGGTGTGCCTTCTGGGCTGGGGGAGGCTCCTCCTGTGAGCTGCCTGAGCAGGCAGCCCTGTTCCTGAGGCTCATCTTGATCCCTGGGCCACGAGAGGCCACCACAAGGGAAGAGTTGACCAACCCAGCTTGTCTGCTGACCTGTGCCCCACGGAGGTGGCTTTCCCCTCACTGTATCAACACAGACTTGTCAGCTCAGTGTTCGATTTATTAAGAGAAAAAATCACACTCAGGAAAGGACAAACAGCCAAGAGAAACCCAGTCGCAGGCAGGGGCAGCACTTTAAGCACAAACTCCTGGCGGCAGCTGCTGGGTAGGCAGGACTGCCTCAAGGGTGGGGCCGTGGTGACATGGGCTCAGCGCAGTGCTCCTGTCTGGGCTTGCGAGCACCGCCTGGGCAGAGGGGCCTGGGTTGGGCACCTGTAGACAGGCGGCTGCCTGGGAAGGGGCAGGAGCCAAGCGGAGCGTGGGCAGACACAGCGGCTGCCCTGGGGCTTTTGGGCAGGACTGGTGGCATCGGCTGCGCTCACAGGACAGGGTGGAGGTGCCCTCTTGCTCCCTGGGACTGGGCTGTGTTCCTTAGTTAAGCTCATTAAAGTTTTAATCCTGGGCTCAGAAACCCCAGGGGAGGGTTTGGAGCAGGGCTTGAAGGAGGGTGGGACCCCAGCAGTGGGGCAAGAGGGACCTGCTCCAGGTCCCCACCTCTTCCCGCGCTCCCCGGCCCCCAGGCAGGATCTGAGGCACAGGGCTGGGCACGCAGCAGTCTGGGCAGTGCGGATGGCAGCCTGGCAGGCAGGAGGCAGGGCCCGGCCCAAGGCTTGGAGGGTGGACGTGGGGCTCCTCAGGCTCCCCAGGGAGGGCAGGAGAGAGTCCAGGCTGCAGGAAGGGAACAGCAGCAGGGGCTGGAGAGGTGCCGGAGGGAAGTGGCAGAGCCTCACGCCCCTAAGAGCTTCTTGACCATGTAGCCGGGGAGGCTGTAGAGGAAGAGGGCCAGCAGTAGCAGCCCCAGCAGCGCCAGCACGATCTTGATGATGAGCCACTTGTACCGGGTGCAGATGAGGTACTTGATGGACTTGAGCGGGTTGAGGAACCAGACGAAGGCCGTGTCGGGCCGGCTGGGGGAGAGCGGGAGGGGCTGGTCAGGCAGTGGCACAGGCAGCCCCCACAAGGCACCCATCCTCTCCCCTTCCAGACCCAGAGGCCCTGAAGCAGACCGAGCCCCGCAGACTCAGCCACGGGTGCTGGAGCCCGGGGGTGGCCTACGTCAAAGCACCAGCTTTGCTGCTTGCAGAGCCTCGTGCTCCTCCCAAAGCCCCTAGATGGAGCTCCTGGGCATGGGGCAGCCACCTGGCCTCGGCCTTGACACTTGAAGCAAGGGCAGTGGCCTTGGAACTGTGGACCTGTACTCAGCCGCTCATCATATAGGGTTGTGTTGTCCCCTGTTCTCAGGGGACCAGTGTGGCACTACCTCTTCCTTCATAATGAGTACAAACTTCTGTCCCACCAGGCCTGGCCAAGCAGGGCACACTGCCCTCGCCGACCTGCTCCACCTTCTTTGCTCTGCCTTCTGCGGAAATGAAATGCTCTAGCTAAGAGGCTCGCTGAGTTTTACCACTAAGGTTTGTTACAAAAACAGCAGTTTTCATAAGAGATCCAGATATAAAGTGAAAGTACTGAATATGCTTTGTCAAGCTACCCAGCACCTCCCAGAGTACATGGGCTATGCTCCAGAGTGAGCTCAGTACACATGGGACAACGAAGCAGGGACTTTGGGCACAGGGCGTCTAGTTTGGACTCCAGCTATGGCTGGCACCTGTTGGAGCCTCCATTCCTATGGATGGTAGTCATAGCTGATTCCTGGGGCTGTGAAATGGTGAAGCAGAGTGCCTGTGAAGCTCTCAGCCCGTGAGGTGGTGCTCAGTGTTGGCTGTTGAGGGTCTGAATCTGGATGGGACTGAGATTCCACAGGGCAGACTCAGCACCGCACAGGGACGTCTTGATGGGGGAAGTCATTTCAGGTTCTTGCTGGGGAATCCTAGCTCAACCTTTCCCCTTTCCTTGTCACTATCAATTTTTTATGTCAATAAATTGGAGTACAGTCTGCAAGGAATGTAGCTGGGACGGGAGGTGCTGTAGTTTGAAAAACGCTGGATTGGCAGTTTGGACACCTTGGCTGGAGTCCCACTCAGCTCTGCCCTAATTTACTGGGTTGGGTTACTTCACCTCTCTGATTTAACACATAAAAATGTGAAGTAGCCACTTCTAATTCTGAGAATATTATTCTGTTTTGAAAGTTTGAATGTTTGTGAGGGCTTGTGTATGAGCATTTGTGTTTATGGTTTAAGAGAGTGTGTGTGTGTGTGTGTGTGTGTGTGTCCATGTGACTGCAGCCCTTGGTCCAGAGGCAGAGGGGAGAAGTACCAGACCCGGGAGGCTGTGGGGCTCAGGCCCCAAGGATCTTCTTGGCCAGGTAGCCAGGCCCAGAGTAGAGAAACAGGGCCAGCAGGAGGAGCAGCAGCAGGAGCAGCAGCAGTTTGAGGAGCAGCCAGCGGTAGGTGTGCCACAGGAAGTAGCGGGCAGACTTGAGAGGGTTCAAGAACCAGATGAAGCTTGTATCGGGCCGGCTGTTGCATCAGGAAGAAAGGACGGGGGAGCTGGGGCTGGGTTGGTGAAGGGCCCCTGCTGAGGGGAAGTCCACCTGGGCAGAGTATATGAGCTCTGGGTCCTCAAGGCCAGCTGAGGCCCAGCACCACCACTGGTCTGCTTGCTGGCAAATTCTGGGAAGAACCTCTACCTCTGTGGCTGGGGAGAGGAGCTGCTTCCTTGAACCCATCCTTTGGCTCAGAGGAAGGTGGTGGGGTTCAGGAGTGGAGGAGGGGGCTCCCCCACAATGTGGCTGTGACCCAGGAAGGAACACAGGTTGCCTGAGGAGCGGGGGCAAGAAATCCAGAAGGTTCTGGTCCCTCCTTCCTGTTCTGCCCCTAAGACCAGCACGGCTGGGGGTCCGGGCAGGCAGGGCACTCACTTGGGTTTCTCTAGGGGGTCAGGTTCGTTGCGGGCCAGGCCCACTGGATTCTTCTCAGCCTCCTCTGCTGTCAGCAAATGCAGCTCCGCCTCCACTTTGCCCTGAAGAGAAGAACAGAAAGGTCCCAGGGCTGGCCACTCCACCCTGGCCCAGCCTGGCCCACTCCCCAGCAGGAGGCGGTGCCCACCGTGAGCTCGAACTCGTCATTCTCATTGCGGGCCAGGAGTGGCCACCAGCCTTTGACCCGCTTCTGCTTGAAGATGGAAACCAGGGGCACGTCCACCTCCCCGGTGGCCATCTCCATGGTGCACTGCTTGGCTGTCTTTGCGCCCCGCGGGAACCGGTTCAGGTCTAGCTCGATGGCCCCTGTGGCAATCTTAGAGTCAGCTCTGGGCAAGCGTGACAGGGGCAGGGGATTTGTCCCCACATTTTGCTCAGGCCCTCCTTCAGCCTGGTGGGCATCTCCTGGTGTCTGCCACCCACTACCCCCTGGGCCTCCCCTCTGTCACAGTCCTTGTAAAGTCTCCCGACCCCCTTAGGGATCCTTGCTGATCCCTCCATCAGCATTTACTGCCCACTGTTTGATGTGTCCAAAGCACTTTGCCTGCCTTGGTAATGACCCTGGGGACATCTGTCCCATGTGTGGTTAGGTGGATTCTTGGGGGACAGGAACCCCGTCTGATCTCTCTGCTCTCATGGGCCACACAAGGGCAGCCGGGCTTACCTATCCCAACCTCTCCCACCCCTGCCTCTCTGCTCTGGGTGCTAGGCCCCGCCCTGCTCTGCACCCAGGAAGTCGTCTGCTGAGAAGTGGTCAGCGTCCCAGATCTGCAGGGTGAGCCGCGCGGGGATCTTGTACTCAGTCTCATCCCAGGAGAACATGGACTCCTTCTTGGAGATGACGATTTTCTCCTCAGCTGCCAGGTAGTCGAAGGGGAACAGGTAGCGCCAGTTGAAGTTGCCCTCACCAGTGAGGGAGTGATAGTGGACGTCCGTGTCCTGCTTGTCCTCCTGCTGGCCCTTGAGCCACCTGCCAGGAGCCACGTGCTCCAGATCTGCGGCCATACCC